CTGACTCATGATGATGAAAATGAACATGCATCGGTTTGCACTGCTTTGGATCGTTATTGAGCAGAACCAGTCATCGGCATGGAGGCATCTCCTCTGGAATGGTGGTTGAAGCATCAAGGGACGTATGAATCTTTAGCACATCTGGCACGTAACTATCTTGTGACGCCGGCTACAACAGTGTCATGTGAATGCCTGTTCTCACTTTCAGGTGTCATTGTAAATAAGAAGCAGAGAGCATGATCTTCTGCAAATGTAAACAAACTTGTTTGTCTGAACGATTGGCTAAACAAGAAGTAGGAGTGAGTGAACTTGTAGGCTCTAAAGTTTTACATAGTTGGATATATATATTGCATGCAGGTTTTTGTACATAATTCTACATTTGTAAATTCAACTTTCATGATAAAGAGATTGCACTACAGTACTTGTATGAGGTGAATTGAAAAATACTATATTTTTTACAGTGCAAATATTTGTAATCAAAAATAAAGTGAGCACCTTATACTTTGTATTCTGTGCTGTAATTGAAATCAATATATTTGAAAACATCCAAAATATTTAAATGGTATTCTATTATTTAACAGTGCAATTAATCGCGATTCATTTTTTTTAATCGCTTGACAGCCCTAAAAAATACGTAAAGATCACTATCCAAATAATTTAGTCAACTACACCAAGAGGATGATTCAAAGCCAATAGTGGTTAATGGAAGGCCTCCCATTGACTTTGAATCAGGCCCCAGATCTGCATTGTGCCCAATGCGGAACATCTCATATTTCCAGGAGAAAATGTCCAATACTTCTATGCTCTTAACTGAGGACGTATGTATATTATCCAGATGGAATCTGCTCTCTCTTCTCTAATGAAGTCTGTGGTGTGAAATATGTCCTTTAGTCTTTTTTTTTTCAGTAGACACATGCAGATATAGGGATTTGCTTCTACGACTATGAAACAAATCATGTGCTGAGTTTTCTTTGCAAATGCATGTGTGTGGGGAAATAGAAACTTACACATCAGATTTTCAGCTATGCCAAGAATATCTGCAGAAACATTTCTGAGTACTAGGTTCTTAAGTCATTTTAATGGTGATGGATGTGCAGGACACTATAATCAATTACACTGCCTTGAAAATTACCTAGTTATTTTCCAAAAGAACAATGAGTAACCGTTGTTTGCCACAGTATAGTTTAATATCTTTTGTTCTGCATGTTTAGAACCTTGTAAAGAACTGGAGAGATTGGGACCACTACCAGGCTATAGGTATAATTTGTAATATTTAGGCTTGTCTAAACACATAAGTTGCATCACCTAACTATATTGTTATAGCTTCCACTGCATAGTGAGTGTCCCTTGACGATGTGTGGGTGTTTCATACAGCTACAAGGCAGAAACAACAACTTTGAAAATTAAAGGAAAATGTGATTGTAAACCACAAATTGTTGGGGGAGGGGGGCATCAGGGCCAGGTATAAACCAGAAGCAACTTTCAACTCAATTTTTCTTTAAACTGTCTAGATTAGAAATTGACCATTTGAAATTAGAGATGTGGCCTGACTTTATTGACCCTCCCTCCCCCCCCCCTTTTTTTTTTTTGGTCCAAATACAATAAATATACCAATAGCAGATTCATCATGGTATACCAAATAAATAGAGGATTAGGATAAAGGAAGGGAGGAGGAGTAACATACCTCTCTTCAGGCTCTATTAATCATAGATGACATGGCTTTGAATTTTTGGGCATTCCCTTTCTGTGGTAGTGTGGCCTTCCTTTAATGTAAGCTTTCTTAATGCTCTTAGCTGTTTTTTTTTTTTTTTTTTACGTCTCCTCTCTTCTGGCCCCTCAATGTGCAAGTGTCACCATTTGCTCTTAGATTCAGGGTCAAGTTAAGAGGGGTGAGAGATACTTGCTTACCAAAAGGTAGCTTGTGTTGCCCTGATTTCTCATTGCCTTGCCTCTTGTGTCATCATTTCCACCTGTGTAAAGTGGGTTTAAAAGGCTACCCCATCAAAAGTGACAGGACAGGTTTAAATAACCCCACACTCTGGATGGCAGGAGTCTAAAGAGCGATTGTTGGTGTAAAGTATGCATTGAAAGTTTCAGCGTGGATTGCCCTCTGTACATGGCCCTATACATATACACTATTATAAAGCAGGACCTACGACAGGCCTCAATGTCTCAACTAAGAGGGAATTAGCAGGTAGTTCCCAAACTGTGTTGCCTCTAAATTCAAGAGCATATTACTCAAGAAGTGCTTGTGGGGCTGGGAGGGAAACCCACTCTAAGTTCTTGGTCAACAAGAACTGAGAACCCCTAATATACTTAAAACTATGAAACAGTCTGTTTTAATAGCCCTCTGATTTCCCCTTGTTATACTAAGGAAATCAGGGCTCTCTGCCAGAGCCCATCAGACTCCTTGGCTCCAAGACTGTCAAGTTTAGACTTGCTATTTCCAGGTTCTGTCTTGGCATCCCCTCTCCCCACATTCATTTTTCTCTTCGGTTCCTCCTTCTTTCTTTTTCCAGTTTTTCCTTTGTTTCCAACTAATTGTCTAATCTCATTCAGAATCCCATTCCTCACCCCTCAGATCCTCTTCAGTCTATTTCCTTTCCTTTACTGTCTTTTATGCCTACTCCCTCAGCCCCTTTCCCATTCTCAAGTCTGTCAGCTATCTCTTCAGTCTTATTCAGACCTCCTTCCTCCCCTCATCCCATTCATTTCCTACTCCTCGATCCTACTTCTGTCCTTGTTGGCCTCATACACTCAGATCTAGCTCCAAACCATGTGCTTCATGCCATCTATGAGTGCAGGCTGAGAAAAAATAAAAGGTGAATAGATACAACTCTTAAGCAGTAGAAAGGAAATAAAGGAAAGAGACAAAATAAGGAGCCAAGGAATAAGTCCCAGGAGGAAAAGGAGACAAGTGTTGTGGTAGATTCATGTGTGATATTTCTTGTCTGAGATAATGTGACTAATCATTGGAGCATGAATCCCCAGCCCAAGCAATGGAAGCTGGGCCTCTGGCCTGGGGAGGAATGGAAGTACATGAAGGAAAAGTGGTCCTTGGGGAGGAAGCAGAGGTCTGGGTGGACCAAGTTGTAAATGAGGGAATGGGAGAGGGAAGTAGTGTATGGATGCTGCAGAGGGCAGAGCCCAGATCCCTCAATAAGGGTGCGCGGAGGTGGTGCAGGCAGCTCTTCCAACAGTTCTTGCCTGCAGGCTCCTCTCTTTAGGGCAGAGGAGAGATGTGGAGGACTCAGCAGCCCTACTTTAGCAATTACAGGTGGGGCCCTGGGACTTAGTCCCCCTTCAAACCAGGGGAGAGGCAGTGGAGCTCAGTCAGTCAGGAATTCGTAAGGGCAGGAGTTACTCTGATCCAAGTGTGTGATTCCCCATGCAGCGGGAAACCCTCTGCAGACCTAGGGAGAGAGAGATGGGAAGTGACCCTTGCCCTGAATACTGTAGCACCCCTTATGAAATGAAGGGGTAGTGACCAGGTAGGCACCAGAAGAGCGGAGAGGGGATAAAGACCACCAGCCCCTTCTCCAAAGACTCAAGTGTAAATGCTGGGAGTGACCGCTAGAGAAGGCAGGGGCAAGGGGTGGTGGCAGGAGAAAGAACAGGGCCTGGGAGAGAGCAGCAGGAGGACATGTGGGCTCAGGGGGTTGGGAGCAGTGGGGGATGTCAGGGTGGGGGAGATTGTAGAGGGCAGGCAGATTGGGGGGGCTCTAGGGGATAGGCGCGCTGGGGGCTCAGACTCGTGGGGCAGCCTTAGGAGGCGGTGGGGGCGGGCAGCACAGGGATAGTAGCCCTTCCCCGCTCCTATCAGGGGACCCCCCCCCCTCGGCACAGGGAGCCCAGAAGCCGCTCCCTCCCGTCTCGTGCGGGCGGGGCCCTTAGCTCATCTCTTCTTTCTGTCCCCTCCCCCCCCCCTTAAAGGGCCAGTACCCGTTTCCCCCCGGCGTCGGGCTCGGAGCCCTCGCTCCGCCTGGAGCATGGGAAGGCGGCTCCCGTCCCAACCCGAGCTCGTTCGCCCCCCCCCGCCACCGGGCGCGCAGGCTCCGTGCGCCTGCCTGCAACTTATTTGACGCGGCCGGCGAGCCTTGTTTCACGCCGCCCAGCGAGCGAGCCGGGGAGGGAAGGGGCGAGGAAAGTTGCCCACGTGATTGCTCTGGGTGGTGGTAGCGGGGCGGTGGGGGGGAATTGGGGCCGCATCCCGGCCGCTCCTGCAGCCGCTCGGGGCCAAAACCTCCTGCATCCTCCCGTCTCCGGCAGCCCCCCCCAGGCCGTAGGGGCGGAATCGTCCCTGGGCATCTCCCCCCCCCCGGGGGGAGGTAGCGTCAGGAGCAGCCAACACACACCGGTGCCTCCCCCAGGAGACTAGCTGAGCCTTAGCACCTCTGCCAGCATTTATTTATTATTGGGGGGCGGGGAGGCGTGTCCTTTTCCCTCTCCGCTTGGATCTATTCTCACCCCCTCCCTTCTCCTCCTCCCGCAATTAATCCGCCGAATTACTATGATTGATCCTTATTAATAGATTGGCTGGGTGGGCGTGTTTGGCGGGGGCGGGGTGTGACGAGCTCCCACTCAGGATTCAGTCCCTGACCGGTGCCTGAACAAACTGCAGCTGGATGTATCGTTACGATGATGATGATGATTTCCCCGTCTGATTGAGAGCTCGAGCAGGAGGAAGACGGAGTCTGTGTGTAGTGGGGGGAAGGTTGTATCCCACAGACACATACATTTTTTTTTTTTTGCAAGTTCTGTTAGTTGGGGAAGCAAGAAAATCATTTTTGTTTTTGTGTGCAAGGAAATCTTTCTTTCGCCTGCTTCCCAGTGGGTCGGTCTCTTTCTTTTTGCCTTCTTCTCTTTTGGAAAGCCTCCGTCTCCCAGCCCCTTGATCAAAGCATTCCGCTATTCTGATTTATTGCCTGCTTGGAGAGGGTTCTCCCCCCCCCCTTTTTTTTTCTTCTTCTTTTTTTTTTTTACAAAGGCGACCTGTGATCAGCCATTACTTTCCTTGGCTTGCTTATAGGAATCTCTTACATTTGGTGTTCGCTGGTGGTGGAACCGCACTTGGATTCTTTTATTTCTCTCTTCTTCTCCCCCCCCTTCCTCTCTCTCTCTCTGTCCTCTCCTCCTCCCTCTTTCTCCTCTCTCTCGCTCCCTCCCCCTTTATTCCATTGGGGAAGCCGGATTTGTGGCCGTGCTGGGGAGGGGGGGGGAGAGAGGGAGAGCGAGAGAGCGAGCAAGAGCCATGGATGGCCCGACACGATGCAACGGGCTTCGGAGAAAGAGGAGATCCAGATCGCAGAGAGATCGGGAGAGGCGATCCAAAGGCGGATTAGGAGGGGCCGCCGCCGGTGGGGCCAGCAGGACCAGGGCTGCTTCGGTCCTCTCTTCCTCAGGCTCGGAGAAGGAAGACAATGGGAATCCACCATCGTCCCGACCCAGACCCCCCAGGAGGAAGAGGCGAGAGCCCTCCTCGGCAGAAGAAGACATTATCGATGGCTTTGCAATGTGCAGCTTTGTCACTTTTGAAGCTTTGGAGGTAAGGCGACCCCCGCCTCCCGCCCCGATGCTGCCGGTGTGCCTGGCTCATTGTTGGGTTAGGGGGGCGGAGGGAGGGATGGCAGGGAAATCTGTCTGGTGCCCCCCTCTCTGTCTCTCTCGCTGGCTTTCACACTCTTTCCTGCCTGCGTTTTCTCTCTCTGGATGGATAACAATGCAGCCGCCCCCCTTTCTCCCCCCTTCCCCCCTCCTTCTCCCCCCATAAATTGCTGTGGCTGCCTGTCTGTTTTGTTTTGGCTGCAGTTGATGGGGGATTTCCCCCCTCCTCTCCAGCACTGGGGAGCGGTGGGGCTGCTTATTTTGCGGGGAGGGGGGCGTATTCTCCTTCACTAGGAGAAAGGAAAGTGGGGGGAGGGCTTAGCCTCCTTTATCCTGCATGGGGACCTCACCTCTTAAAGGGTTAAATGTACTGGGAGAAGGGGGGAATCCCTTGCTGACATCTAAAGGGCTTGTTACCCAATTGTCCCTTTTTTCTTCTTCTCCGAAGTGCTTTTGCTTTGTGTGTGTGTGGAGAGCTCTGTCTCTTTCTTTATTCCTTGAACACCTGCAGCGTTGCTTTCCAAATGCACATTTCCCAGCCAGCCAAGCTTCTGGGGGGCGGGGGGTAGCAGGAGATTAAAAAGCGGGGTCTATTGCGATTGGGAGAGACATATGTCAGGATAGATTTTTGGGGGGAGGCGGGAGAAGGATATAAAAATGGGAGGGGCGCTTTTTCCTCCTTGGGGTGGAGGAGAGAGAAATGTTTGAACCCACAATCCATATGTGGGGAGGAGAGAGTTGTTGGCAGTGTGTGTGGTTTTTCTTTTCCGCCGACAACCAGAGCATGTTGGTTGCAGCCCTTCTCTTCTGTCCCCCCCCACTCCTCCCCTTCCAGCAGAGCGGTGATAGAGGATCCAAATGAAACTTTTCTTGGCTATTCTGTAGGATTGGGATTTTTGGTGGTCACTTGCACTGGGCTGTGTTCTGCAGGCATGGGGAACGGGTTGGTTGTGGCAGTAGTGTTTGAACGTTCCAGTCCTGATTCATTGTCAAGGTTATACCTTTGGGGGGAGCGGGTGTTTCTTGATATTTTGTGGGGAGGAGGAGGGAAGGCCTGATGAGAACCACTTACCAAGTACAAACACGGCTAAATGTCTGATTTCTAAGGTCTGTGTGTTTGGAGGATTGGAAGGGGGGAGGGAGGCTGTGGTCTGATTTATGTTTTTATTTTGTTTTGGTTATGTGTGTACTGGCCCTTTAATTTGGGGGACACCCCCCCCCCTTTGAAACATGTGATGAAACGGCTCCCGTTCTGATCTGAAACGCTTCTGTGAATCCGAACTAAGGTCCCTGTCTCTGCTGCTGTCTCAGGACACATCAAAGAGACTGTTACAAGTGGTCCTACTTATTGTTGATAGTCTTCCTAGTGCCTCCCAACTCTTGTTTTTTAACATGTACTATCGCATCTGGGGGGCTGGCAATCAAACTGGAGGCACCAGCTGTTCTTGTCTTTAAAAAAAAATTTAAAGACAAAACGTGATAGGAAACTGAATGCCGTTTAACTCACTGGATTTTTTGTTTTGTTTTTTTGTTACTTGCTGAATGTATCCAGTTTGTCTCCTTTTGAGCCCTGGAAGTTACCACTTTAGTGTCATTCCAGGATCCAGTCTGCCCTTTCATGCCCTTTCTGGCTCAGGGCATATTACACTATTCAGGCTCTCTTAGAAAGCACAACCTGTGCATTTCCTCCCCTCCAAGCCTGATCAGGATACTGTTTAGTGTTTACTTCATTAAACAACATTTTAAAATAGTGTAATCCTGCACTGTGTAATCAAGGGGGATACAGTTGTTTTAGGATAGCTTTGGCAGTTTATTTTAAGGGCCTTTGTTTATAAATGACACGTTGTAGAATTTTACCAAGTTTGTGTTGGGGAAGCCAGATTTATTTGGGTTTGCATTTCATGGAATTGCAACTGTAACAATTATGAACTGTCAAAATAAATGTGAAGATGCAACTGATCATTTAACGACAACAAAAAATGTGTATTTAAACTATTTAAATATTTATCCAGTAATAATAGCATTCTGTTTCTTTACACTGGGATCCAAATTCTGTTCAGTTACGTCTGTATGAAGCCAGAGTAACTCCACTCAGGTAACTTATTATAGTGTAACTGAAAGGAGAATTTGTCTCCTACCTGAGAAATACACAAAGTGCATGAGTTGTGATCCCTAGTAAACAATCACCAGTTTTATAGCCCTGGCCTTGGTGAGTACTTCAATGGGTAGCCCCATTCAAGCCAATGGGAGTACCTGTGTGACTAACTAGTGTTCACCAACATGAGAGAGATTTACACAGTTAGGCTTAGTAGATCAAAATCTGTTTTCACACAAACATCTCATTCATGTCACTGGGTGTTCTGTTTGAATAAGGACTCCAAAATTTGGTCAAAATCCTTACTTTTTGGTGAGCACATTTTATGGTCCGTATAAATATTGAAGAGTTTCTATCACCCTGCTCTTGTTTGAACTTGGTGAGGAGCTTTTATAAAATAACTTAAATTTGGCTTTGCTTGTTTTTTAAAGTGGAAATTAAAATTTCCCCCCTTTTTTTCCTTTTCTTCTCTCTCTGCTAGTCGAAGAATGGCTACTAGTGGCTTCCTGTTGTAACTGTGCATCCCTTGAAAGGAGTTCACAAACATTTGCCAGCTTTGCCAGTTAATATTTTATTCAGATAAAACAATTGCCAGCACACTGAGATTTGACATAATTTAATATTCATGTGATAGATGGCACATCTTGAACAATGGTCTCAAGTTGCAGTGGGGGAGGTCCAGGTTGGATATCAGGAAAAACTATTTCACTAGGAGGGTGGTGAAAACTGGAATGCGTTACCTAGGGAGGTGGTGGAGTCTCCTTCCTTGGAGGTTTTTAAGGCCCGGCTTGACAAAGCCCTGGCTGGGATGATTTAGCTGGGAATTGGTCCTGCTTTGAGCAGGGGGTTGGACTAGATGACCTCTTGAGGTCCCTTTCAACTCTGATATTCTATGATTCTAATTTCATGCTGCATTGACAAATATTAGAAACTCACTTACAAAAACATAAGAATAAGACTACATGTATTTGAGAAAGAAGGGTCAAGCACACTGGCCTAATATGGCTGGGATTAATGGCTATGGCTACTTGATGTTTTGGTTGAGACTTGAAAGTACTAGCAGGAAGACCTGATAGTCACTACTAAGTGAGATGATCTTGGTGGTGATCAGTGAGATGTGTAGGTGCTGAAATACTTGAGTGGACACATGCTGCAGGAAAGTTTCTTGCAGCATTTGTTAATTTACTTGGTGAGGGCCTGATCCAAAGCTAAGTGAAATCAGTGAGTCTTTCTATTGGTTTCAGTGGGCTTTAGTGCCTGATAACAGGAAAAAAATTGCCCCAAACTCTTTCTGTGGTTGAACTTCAAATATGAGCTCCAGATTCAATATTGCCGCAATAATGTTGAGAAAAAAAAGAGGGCTATTTCATCAGCAGGTGTAAATCAGTCTAGCACTAATCCAATCAATGACACTACATCGATATATACCAGTTGAGTATCCCACCCCAAAATCCAGAAAAGGAGAAGCAAAAGATGTTTCTTAAAGGGTAGTAGCCAGACAAGGACAGTGACATGAGCGGCAGCCCTCTGTTCGAGAACACCTTTCCAATGAGAGTAGGGTGACCAGATGTCCCGATTTTTGTAGGTACAGCCCTGATATTCAGGGCTTTGTCGTATGTAGGCGTCTGTTACTCCCCACTCCCTGTCCCGATTTTTCACACTTGCTATCTGGTCACTCTAAGTGAGAGATCTCCCTTGGGTGGATGCATAGTGCTGCCCCTAACTGATAATTATGAATATTTTAGTGATTGAGCATGATGAAGCCAGTGGGCCCCATTCTTTTTCTAAACACATTGTGTTGGCACTACTGGAAAAAATGCCTCTTAATTGTGCAGCAGACTGGCTAGGATGTGGGAGGAATATTGTAAATGGATGACGTGTATGTACAGGGAGGATTGTGTACGAGAGGGGATTCCATCTATGGCCGTTGTATCCAAAGAAGAGAGGTGTATGTCTGCTAATGCCAGTTGTGGTACACTGCACCTTGATAAAAGTTACTGTCTTGAACCAAAGCTACTTGTTTCGCTGACTGCCACTCTCTAAGTCACTATTCTCTCTGGCATTTAGAGCCTTTTCCTTATCTGGCATGTAGGTAGGCACCCCTTATCTCTTGATGATTCTTATCTCTACAGCAGCATGTCTTGGTTTCTTAACTGTTTGCTTGGAGTAGTAGGTAGAAGAAGAAGAAAGGGGTGAAGGGAGAGTGGGACCTTACTGTTGTACAATGTTTCTGGATTCCTCAAACAACCAAGGAAATTAGGGGCTTGCAGTGAACGTTGCTTGTTAAGTGCTGCTTGAGTGCAAATTTGCCAAGAGTGGTCCCAGCCTTGCCATAATTCTCTGGTTAGCAAAGGTAGCTTGTGGGCTTGACTCTGCCTATCCTCGAAAGTCAGAGGATTCCTTTCATGCATTTGAAACCTTCAGATCTGGTCCTTAGTTTAAGCATCTGGGGTGTATTCCTAGAATTTGCTGAGAGACACTGATCTCTTGGTGTGACTGTGCACAACATACATTGTCCCTATATCTGCTCTCCTTGGCCTTTCAACTTCTTATTTGATGTGGAAGGAGAAAAGGAAGGGGGTTCAGTGCTCCGATTTGTGGTGGTCAGTACTCTGACCACTTTACTCGGCACAGCAACCAGAAGTGGTCCTGTGGTGTTTTTCTGCTGAACAGTACTTGTGTGACTCTGGCCAACAGTAGAATCTTCAGACTCTCTGTTTTGGCCAAGGGACAAGAAGGACTTTCCAGGAACCTCTTGGAACGAGGATGCCCAATTTTTTTCCATTTGTAACATTCCCTCTTTTGGTTTCTCTGTAATTAGCTGTGGCTATTTTGAGAGGGAGGTT